ATATAGACAATAATGTATTTTTACATGGTCCATATTCATTCTATTTATTTTGGTCAGCGAAGAAAGTAAGAAAATGATTAATAAATATCATTGATAAATAATTAATATATTATAGAATATATTTCAACGTCTTGGTGATCAACCTTCGAATGAACTTCTTGATAGTCTTATGCAAGAAGAACAAGAACAACATTTAAAAAGTATCTAATCATTCGTTTTTTTTCTTTTTGAACTATATAGATATATTCTTTATTAAATAGACGAATATGGAATGATTGATGATGAAGTACGATATATAGCTGATGCTTATAACGAAATTGAAATAAATCCAAATGTTTTATTTCTTAAAAATCCAAAAGATTATCATCATATTCAAGAAAAACATTCAAAAACTGCTATTCTTTTTACTGTTAAATGGGATTCATCATCAAAATTAGCTCGAAATACATTTCATCAATTAGCATTAAATCTTCATAATTATTTATCCATGATAGATATTGATTGTTTTGATTGGACCGATATATGTAATGAAGAAAATATTATTGAATGGCCAACATTAGTTCTAATTGAGAATGAAAAAATAATTAAAACTTATCAAGGTAGTACCGATAAAAATGAAATGGCATTAGCTTTATTTCGGTAAGTTAATAAAATAAAGCATCTTGCCGGATTTAGTGTCCTATCCTAAATCAGAATGCCATATATGCGGTTTCATAGAGCAAATTTCAGCACACCAAATATTCTATAAGAAATCAAGACTTATGAAAACTTTGATGTGCTAAGAGTTGATACACTGGTTATGATACTTGAGAAATATATATAGAGCATAATGATCCCTAATTTTTTTCGACGAATTCGATACAATTTTAAGTGTTCTACGATTTTCTATAATCAATAGATTTTATCATTGCTTCTTTCTTGACCACTTGATAGTACAGCATGTTCAACTCTGTGCGATACAATAGGTAAGTACCAATATGAGACTTTCTCTAAAACTGCATACTATCGAGCTTTATATGTTTCATATCAGAGATGGACAAAAGCGCACCGCGCCTCCCCGCGCCACTGCTCACGCCTAGGCGCTACGCACATCTCTCTTTCTCTTTGCTCTACCAATCAGTTTCTCAAACTCCACCGAATACCGGAATGCTCTAAGCATGCGCTCATCGAAACTCAGACTAGTGTAGCGTAGGCGTGAGCAGCGGCGCGGGGAGGCACGGTGCGATTTTGTCCATCTCTGTTTCATATATAACATCTTTCGGAACAGTAGAGACTCATCATGAAATTGAAAGATTGTCCTGTAGAAGAGCATGTTTTCTAATATTAAAAATCGGTATATTGACGATGTTTTAACAATACTCAATGACTCTATTAAAAATGTTTATATATTAATAATCAGTACAACATCCATGATAAACTGATATCAATAATTTCTGTATAAATGGGAAACAATTTTTTGACCTTCAAACCCTTGGCGACGATGCTGAGATAGATTTTCAGAAAAGAAGATTTGTTATTTCTTTTTCAAACCTTTACTCTGAGTATCCAAGTTTGATGTATTTATGAAATTCTACAAAAATCTATAAATATCTCATGTTCATTGCAAAAATAAATTTTGTCCATTAATAAAGGAGTCATTCATATCAGTTCATCAGGGATGCTGTAATGATGATTAATACATAAAAATTTTTATTAGAACACATTTAGATACTGTTATAATATCGTCAATATATCCGCCCCCGTCATATAGGGGGAATTAAACTATACTAGGAGAGAATCTTGCAAGTTTACAACGAATTTCTGCTGTTCCGATAAATGTTATGTATGAAACATATAAAGCTCAACCGTGTGTAATTTTCGAGAAAGTTTCACGCTGATACTCACTTGTTCTGTCGCACAGAACTGAACATATTGAAATATCAAGTAGTCAAGAAATAACCAAAACCTAAGAAAAGAGATCAGTTTTAAGTCTGTAGAAAGTAACGATATCATCTATTGATTGCATAAAATCGAAGAGCACTTATAACTCTATTGAATTGAATTAAAAAAATTTTACATAAGTGTATCTTCAAACATCTTAGGAATTATTCTGTCAACGAGTATCATATTTCTCACTGATTACAACCAATATATGAACTTTCAGCATATCAAAGTTTGCCTAAAACTTGATTTCTTATACACACTATTAAATGCATTGTAAACTGCTTTACGAAACCACATATATGGTATCGCGGTTTATGATAAGTCCTCAAAATCCGGCTGATTCCTTTGTTATAAATTAATGATGAATATTTAGATTTTCGGTTAATCAACCATATTTAATTGAAAATAATTCCAGTGAAGCATTAATCGAAAACTTCCTTATACGTCAAAGATTAATTGTTCTTGCTCGAATTCAACACCAAGAGAAATTTTGTAAGTACATTTGATTAAATAGTTTCGTTTATTATTTTTAATCTATAAAAAATTTTTTCCAGTATATGATATTTATAAAAATCTAGTTGATATATTTTTGGATAATGAACATATTTTTTTTATGTTTCAATATTCAACAGAAAGGTAGATGATTGATTAGTAAATGAAATAGGTTAAGGGATTCTTAAATGATTATAATATTTTCTATTTTAATTATTTTCTTGAAAATATTTATTAAATTATAGTTCTTCTCTAATTATTAAACAAAAATATGGTGATATTAATTCATTTTTACAATCGAAAACAATTGTTCATACATTAAATCAAGATCTTAATCATCTTCAAACATTAATTATTGATGCTTTACAAATTCCATTAGTATGTGACTAGTGATTTTATTTTCTATAGATTTAAACTTAAAATTTATTTTTATTTTTCTTCATCAAGATTCCATTTGATCCTCTGGATATAATTAAATCAACATCAACAATATTTCTAGTAACCAGTCATTCACAACTTATTCAACTAAATGATTATTTTTTATTAAATAATCCATCAACAGAGAATCCTGTTATTTGGATTGACACGTAAATCCTTATTTTTTTATGTTTTTCTTCTGTTAATAAATGATTTTATTTTAGAAATTCATTATGGGTTCTTACTATAAATCAATATGGTTATATTCCTTATCCAGCTGTGATATATATTGATTATTCGAATGTAAGTATACTTATAAAAAAAAATTATTATTTTAATTTAATTTTGTGAAATTCACATTATACTTTTTGAAGAAAAAGATAGTGAATATAAGTTTTTGCGACTCCTCCTCATAGAAATTGAATTCCGAGGTTAGAGATATGTTAGCCCTGGTAACAGAGAAGAAGATCAACAGCCATCAGGTACATTTCTATAGTAACTGACCACAACAGACGTCAGACTACTGTCACAGAGGTTCCAAGCAATACAAAAGAAAGCATTGAATGGCATTAACAACAAAACCTAGACTACATTTGTGAATGTTCTAAACAGTGCAGTAGTTGATTTTTGCACAAATAAAAATTTATATTCAAGAGATCAACGGTGAGAACTAGTAATTAGAGATGTGCGGGATGAAATTTTTTGGTCTCGGTCCTGATCCGCTCCTGGCAATTTCTTTGCTAGTGGTCTCGCTCCCAGTATGAACAATATCATTTTTTTCTTGTCCCGGAACCGAGACTAAAATTGTTCCCGCACATTAGTAGTAATGTCCTGATTGGCCACATTCGTCATATCATCAACATGAAAAACGTGAACCGCTCAAGTTATAACTTTAGGAAATAATCAATATAATTTTTTATGAGCTTATCGAGACCCGTCATAGTGTGCTGAGACCTGCGGTAGATATAATCACTACGTATAGCAGACTTATTTGCTATAAAAATCAATGATTAGAATAATAATGATACTAAATTAAGAAAAAAGGAAAACCAATGAGCAAATAGCAATAAGGTTAGTAAAAAAATTTGTGCTTGAAATATAGAAATAAATAAGACAGATCGTTTCCCTGGCGATCGATTATATAATAATGAGACTGAATAAAACATGTGAGTTCCACATTTTAACTCCAATAGGGTTGCGCTGACAGGCTTCTTTTTATATAGGGAAAGGTTTATATGAATTCTACTTTGACTGATATTGGTGCATGGCTTGAAACAGTTCAAATGGGATCAATAGAACCTTTCTGTAAAAAAAAAACATTATCAATAATATTAAATAAATCATTTTTAATTTGTTCATAATTCTTAGATGAAATATCATCAATTGATATAGATGAAGGACCATCACAAAAAGAAATTGACTTTAATAAACAAATGAATGATGAAGAATTGCTAAATGAATATCGTATAATTCTTGAAGAAAGTGAGAAAATTAATGAATATGGAATAGGTATATTTTATACAAGTTCTTCTTTATTTTTATATAATCAATAAATATTTCTTATTTTCAGGATTTGATTCGAATGGTTTTCCTATTGATATGAATTATTAGAGATTTTTTTGTTTTTTCAGATCATTTTTTTTTTTAATAATGTATCGAATTATCTACTGATTTGAATAGTGTGTATTGAATGATACAAATCCATCTTATCTCTTCTTAAGTTAAATTCAAAACGATGTCATCATTATCGACTAGATTCTCCAAACAAAAACATATTATAAATAATGATCTATCAGACATTATCGAAGAAACTAAACGTTGTTTGAATGTTAATAATACACAACATATTGATAGTAACTATAATAATCTATTAAATTTATCAAATAAATTCGAAATACAATCTTCATCATTATCTTCTATATCAGAATCTAATTCAGTCTTAGAAATTACTCATCAATGTCGAAATAAGAAAAAATCTCGAATTGGAAATCTTAATAAAAAATCGAATATTTCAATTAATAAATGCAAAAAAAATTCTACTTTAAATTTAAATAATAATAATAATAAAAATTCATTTGAAAAAAAAATGAATATATCCAATGTAATATCATGGTGGGAAGATAATCAACAAGAAATTTTAAATAATAAAAACGAACATGATAATATGTTAATAACATCAGATGAAACTTTACAAAATATTGTTAATGGTGCACTTAATTTAATGTTAACTAATTCAAAATCAAGACTAGAAAAACAAATTAAAACATTTGTTGATAGAAAAAAATTAAAACGAAATCGACAACATATTCAATCAAATGTATGAAATCTTTATAAATGAATTAATCAGAAAAATAGTTAGAGCCCAAAACAATGGTTTAGAAGAATCATATTCTTTACATGAGAATTCAAAATATAAAACTATTTCTTAGTAACTCAACTGTGTAGACAAAAGTTTGCTCTAGGGATTGAAAAATGAATGAATATTTTGTGCTAAGACTTTCACATCAAAGTTTATTTGTTAAATTCTGTGAGTTCATCACATAAGAAAAACATCATATTCTACTATCATTAATGTATAACAAACTTCTAATTAGGTGATTTGAATTTTTCGTTATACAGGGCTTATCAAAATTATAGACCCCCTTTTGTCGTTGAGGTTTTTCAATGAAGACGAATAGCTAGATCAAATCTAAATAGTGATTTCGATAGCCCTTGAAGTTCTCTATCGAA